AGCTTAGGTCTCTCTTGTACTTCTTTCATACTTTTTATTTTAATTGCTTTTCCTACTAATTTGTTCCATATGTTGTTTATCTTTAATAGATATGATTTTATTTTCTCTACCCACTCCATATTCCATAAATTTTGTATGAACTCTCCTTGTGTTTGAAATACTTTCTGTTGATATGCTATGGTAATTTTTAACAAATTTGACTAATCTCCTCTCCTTGGGAGAATAAAATCATCTTGCTAAAATCCCCTTTTTCCCCTGCCCCAAACTTAAACTTTGGCATACCCTGCCTAGACACTTTGCTTCAGGATAGCGGTAGGCAGAAAAGTATTCTTGCAATAAAATTTCATATGTTTGATTCATTTGTGAAGGTAAATATGTGTGAAAGTTTGCAAATTCTAAAAGTCTAGTTATATTTTATTATTTGCATAGCTGCACAGCTTTTAGAATAGCCCTAGCTCATGTCAGTAATGACTGAATGGAACATGCAATTCTGTAGTCTCCTATTTGTTTTTACATTGGACATATATTTTTAAAAATAAATCCAAGGGCAGTGCTGAGTTTGGCTGTATTAAATGTAGTATTTCTTAGTGCTGAAGGTGGTAGCTGGGAAATGACTGAGTGCTTTCACCTGTTGATCTGATTGTCTGATCTTCAGCCATTGTCGGATCTTCAGATGCATATACTGCTCTTAAAGCTGGGGGGGTTTGAAACACAAGTCTTTAGCCATTACTCCAGCTCCTGGAATGGAGTAACACCTTCCCATGCTGGTTACAGATATTCTTGAGCTGATACAACTGGGTAAACATGGTTCTTGAGAGCTCTCCTTCCCTTTTCATCCCCCTCTTTACCCCTGTTAGGCTGAGCGCCCAGTGCCCGCTCGGGCGGAGGTTTTTGTCCTGTGGGTACAGCTGCTGAGCAGGCTGCCCACCTGCGACAGCCCCTGTGCTACGCTTTGGCACTGCAGGGGCCTGCACTGATGTGCCACCACTCAGGGAAGGCTTTCACCAGTGTTAGTCTTCCGTTATGCTTCAGAGTGGTGCGTAGGGAGAATTAGCAGATATCATTTGAGACACTTTGGTTTTCAAACATTTCCAACATTTGCAGGCTTTATTGGTTGCTGATGACACACACCACTGAAACAGCGCTGCACAGACGAAGGAGGGACTGAAGTGGTGCCTGTAGGTGCAGCAGTGTGTCTGCACAGCATGCGATATGAGTTCAGGAGCTCATTCCTTGCTAGGATGGATATAGCAGTATGTGATGCTGGAAGTACCACTCCTCTGTTCGGAAAGGTTCTCTCTAGGATTTTCAGACTGATTGCCCTGAAAGCCCAAACACATTTTTCCAGAACCCACGATTCCCAGATTGTTTCAGTTCCTCCTATCCACAACCCTTTCTTCTCCCTTAAAGTAAATATATGCTAACTGTAATTTTTTTTTTTTTAATTCCTTCAGGGAGCCTTTGGAAGCATATATCTATTTTGGTCCTGTCTATTACCAGAAGCTAAAGCACATGGTGTTGGATAAAATGCATGCAAGAGCTCGAGGACCCAGAGCAGTGCTTACCAGGTACTGTTTGTTACAGGCTAAGTGTAAAGTGCTTAGTGTACACTGAGAAGTGTGCTCAACAGACAGAGGGGTACACAACAAAATTTGTTTACCTTTTGATACTTAAAGCAAAATGCTGTTACCTTTTAATACACTATTAAAGAGCAAAAGCTCTCACAGTAGCCTGTGGTAAGAGATTGTTCTGAATAACCAGGCATGCTCAATATGGTCCAAAACTGTGTTTGCTTCTCTGCGTTCTGTTAGCAGTTGTTAAAAACATCACCTCTTGATTCATGGTGTATGCTCTGACCCTTTCCTGTCAAGTTGCTCATTATCATAGGTGTTTTAGGAGGATTTTTTTTTCCTTTAACAGTAGTACTTTTACAAAATCAGGGATGAGTAGAAAGAAGAACTTCCTTTTAATATTTCAGCATCCTTTGGTACTGATCAGTTAATATTAATGTAGCCCATGCATGTTAAGGCAAAGCAAACTCATTGTCTCCAGTATAGTGCAAACAAGCATTAAAATGACGTGTGTCCCTGGTATACTTGCACTTTGCCACGCAGACTCTTCCATTCAGCTCTTAAAACCTGATTTTCTGAAGGAGCATTAGAGTTGTATGTAGCAGTCCACAGTTCTCATCCAATTCTATGCAGGAGAATGGCCCTTTTACGCTAATGAAGTGCAAAATTTACACCAAAGGCAATAATAGATCTCCATTTTTATTTACCCAGTTAAAGAAGTGTCCTGAGTTCCTTCAGAGTCATAATCATTGCACAAAGTCTGACTTGGCTGTCATCTTCAACAAAAAGGTAGATGAACAGGCTGATGTCTTCTGGTGTCAAATTCTGAAGTCAAGCTGGTGTTCTCCAAGTAATAATATGTATGCTCCTGGAGGTGTTACTCCTGTTTCTGGACCTTTGAGGCACCTGCAATGTTCTGCTTCCATTGATGTTACTTACCTTTTCTCCTTAAAGCCAAAACAGCTTTTTGGCTGTTAGCTCTATGGTTGCTTGCGCTGTTGTTCTAAACTGCCGACATTCCTGCCCGCAAGAAAGAGTTCAGTGGCACAGGCTTTGCTTTGAGGAGGCCTCTAGTGGATCACTTTTTCCTCCTCTCTTCATCACAGTAGGATTATTTGTGTTTTCTCCAAATCTTGCCAAAAAGTTAACTGCCAGCTAGTCTTGAGTATTCTGTCAAATCTTATTCTAAATTTCCTTTTCTTGTTGTTCTGGACTATCATGTACTCCTGCTGCATGGTGGTACTCTTCTTTTTGACTTGTTCATGTAAATTTATGATCAGTCCCTTTTGTACTGTATTTGACATGTATGCACAAGGTCATGTTTGTCTCATCCTTCCCTGTAATAAGCACGATTTATATTGTTAACTTTTCTTCACATCATAATTTACTTTTTATGCCTCTGTGGTCCCGTGCTGATCCAATTCTCTTGCCTTGTCTGCCTATATAACAAATTAGAAAGGCTGTTCTCTTAATAGGTCTAGCTTCCAGTTTTGTTGGTGCACTGTTAAGAGAACGGAGGGGCAGTACCAGTCTCCACTGTACCCGATAAAAAAGCATCTTTCCTTTTTTGCTTTTCATTGCATGTTTCCTATATCCTTTGGCTTTCAAACCGCATATTTTCTCTAGGATAGACTGAAGTTGTCTCACAGTTTCCAAGGAAGTAATTACTAATCAATGGTTGAACTGGGAGAGAAAGTATGAGAAGTTTTTGTAATTCTTGTCTGGACTTTTCCATCAACAACATTAAGAAGAATAAACATAGCACAACCATCATTTCTCTGCCACAGCTGCTTACCAATTTCAGAAATAAGTGATGGTCCCAACTAATTGGTTGGCTGCTCCATTTTTGGTTCTTCAGTGTGTTAGTCACAGTATTGGCCCTTCATATGAAAATGAAAACTTGACATCTCAGCTAATAGTGCATGCAGTTGGTTTAGTGGAGCTGCTAGCTTACCTACATCTCTTGATCTGCTTTCATATTGCCTCCCCAGCTTCTTTTCAACTGCTTAGAGCTGTTGAATTTAAATGAAACCTAAATCCCCAGTCAAGGTAATGCTAGTATGTAAAGGTGAAGGTAGTGTGATTTCCCCCACCCCGTCCTTTCTTTAAATTCTTTGTTCTAGTCAGTAGCATCATGCTTGGTAGCCAGGGCTCTTTATTTGACTTTGAGGAAAGCTAGTGGATGTTTAATTTTTGGTGCCTCTTGACAAGTCTTTTAAGAATTTTCTTTTTTTATCCTGAGCTAATTAAACTTGTGTAACTGCCATTGCCTCTTCTGAGAGGCTAGCCGGCTTTGCCAGCTTTCATATTCACTACTGTTTTATCATCCACAACGCTTCCTGGAGAGTAGATTGTCTGTAACAGTTTTTTGATTGTTAAAAGTAATCCTGTAACCACTTCCACTGTGGGATTTAACAGTTATTGTCTTGAAATGCGTTTTATTATCTATCAAGTGTACTTTAACTGACAGCAAAGCTCTCTTTTAATCTGGAATGAGGCAGAAGACTTGAGTTCCTTGAACAGCGCTGATTCTAAATGCTGTTCTGATTAGAACAAGACTTTGTAGTATTGGAAAGCAGCACTCTTGTTAACACAGTCAAAAACGACCAGGATGTCAGCCTCTGAACTGAGGTTTGTTAAATTTAATGCAGTACTTAATTTTATTTTGCCATGAGTAGTCCCTAATTAATTTAAAACTTGTTTCGATACATGGTGTCGTCAGATGCACAGTCCTGCTAAATCTCTTTAATACGTAAACCACTTTTAGTTTTCCTTCCAGGAGATCAATATAAGCTCTTTTGTTTGTTCTCTGCATGCGTAGCTGTTGCAATGGTGGTTGTCAGAGTTGCCACCTGCATGCCTTTTGAGCTTATTAGATGTGCCAGTTCCTACTGTACTACAAAGAAACGATGTGATGAAGCTGGTCAGGGCTCTCTGTGCTCTGGGACTGTGGGAGCATAGTGTTTTGTCCTCCTGTCACACAGGGCTTTTCTAGGTAGCATCCCACCTTTTGGAGATCAGCGTTTCAGCCAAAGACTCCTTTTGGAGCTTAGCTACTGGTTTTTCCTAACAGGCACAAAGGAGTTCCGCTGAACCCTACAAGGACTGCTTTTAACTCATGGGGGTAGACTATTTTTCCCTCCACTGGCCAATGAATAAGGAACAAGGCCGTAAGTTCAACCCGCTGTTCTTCCAGACAATGTAGCATTAGTGCCAATAAATTCTTAATGTGCCTAAAATCACTGAAGTTAATTGTTTTATTCTTTTTCTAAATGCAAAGTTAATAGTATCAGTATCACACGCCTTAGTTTTTTACTTAAAGAAGCAATTTGTTTTATTTAGCATTCAAGAATTTTAAGGTCTGGTTATCTTGTTTTTTTGAAATATGGAAACTATCTGGGTTCTGAGATGTTCCCAATCTTATTTTCAAGACTCTCTGTTTTTTTGTCTTCAGTATGTTATATTTAGAATAAAGAATGGAAGTAGTTGCCCAGGGCAACAGCTACAGTGTATGCGTGTATAGAGGAAAAGGGAAAACACAAATGCTTTATAAATACTGTTTTAACATTTTAAACAATCTTTGGAGTGAGGAATTTTCAAACTCATGTGAGCTGGCCAAAAGTTCCATAGACTTAAGGAACATAAGATAGAATCTTTTCAAAGGCTAAACTCAATATTGCAATGTTTGATGCTTTAGAAAACTACTTTTGGGGGAAGGAGTTTTATTTGTTTGTTTGTTTTTGTTTTTTGGGGTATTTTTTTAGTGAGGTCATTTTGATACTCAGTGGGAGTTAAACACTTAAGAGCTTAAGGTTGATTTTTTTGTTTTTGTGGATTTTTAATGGGATTTCAGCTACCTTAGAAATCTTTGTCCTGTATCTGTTGGAAGGTCCATGGAATATCAGCTCTTCCAAGGACTGGAGTCAAGAGCCCATATTTTTTCCCAAGAGGTCTTACCTTCCCTTAGCTGGATTGATACTTTATTTGGGGATCACCTTTTTAAAGATATTTTGGAGTTTCATCTTATGGAACAGTACCTGGTGACACTTTTGAAAACAGACTTGTGCATTTAACTAATATTACAGAAGTCAGTTGGTAGAAGGAACTTGGACACTTCTAACAGTGCAGCAGATATCTGTATTGTTGGAGGCCTCCAGTGCTTCTAAAATCTGCCTCTTGGGACTTCACAAGATAAACTACATTCACCACATGGTTAGTCCTTTAAAGCAGTATCTGACCAGTGATGGTGCCGTCACCCATGTGTGGGAGGACCAGGAAGTTTAATCAGGATGTAAACAACTTCTATCCATTCTCCTGACAGCAAGAAAAAGGTAACCCCTATGAAAAGGGCTATTTGAATTATAAGCAGATTAGTTTTAAGGTTCCAGCGTGGTCAGAGTAAAAAAAAATCCCCCTTCCCTCCCAAAAATGCAAATACAACTTGTATCTTCAGAAGGTCAGTTTGGCCTGGTAAGTAGTTGTATTTTTTTACACTTATTTCAGAAGATTATTAGATGTTGAAGGTTTTTTTAAGTCCTATTTTTTGTGAGCTGTAATAAGTTGGCAGGAACTGCAGTATATTTAGTAAGTTTAGCAAATATGGTAGTTTGAAACAGCATAAACAAAATATACTCTGAAAGCTGTAGGCCAGGTCCATCATTAGATACTCTAGGTGCTTTACACTGCTCCAGGTACCAAAACAGCACATAAACATTGGGTTTCACCGGCCAGTGAAGCCACTTATGATTACCAATACCAATTTTTTCCTTCTCTCTGCTATCATGCTTCAGTATATAAAGACTGAAGTATTTAATAAAATGCATGCAATATATTCATGCTTCAGGAATTTAAGATTTTTTTTGTTTCATAGTTGACTTTGTAATATTTGCCACCTAAATACTGCTGCACTGTGCTAGTACATGAGAGCAAAATGAATACTGGCTCTACAACAAAGCCAAACAGTGGTGTCAGAAGTAAGAACGTTAGTAAGTTTTAACCTTGTGACCAACAAAATCAAAAGATTGGCTTAAACAGTCATGATATTATTAAAAAATAAATTGTACCTTGGCTTTTTATCTCAAAGTCTTCAGGGTCTACTTATATTCCTTTGTTAAAGTTTTCTTATAGTACATGAGGACAAGAAATCTTTTCCAGACAAGAAATGAGACTAGTTTGTTTTGAGGACCTAGAGAACCAGAAAAGTTTACAACACTGAAATCAATCTGTTAACCATCAAAAAGACATTAACAAAATAAACTACATAAGTGTTATTTTTTGAAAAGTGTGTAGAGCTTCAATAATGAGTTAGTATATGCACACTGGAAAAGGGAGCAATTAATCATGCTAACTACTCGTGCTGCTTTGTTTTGGAACTCTCTCGCAGATCAGATAAGGTCCTCGTTTAACATCAAACTTGGTCTGTCTCAGTTGCAGTTCACCTGGAAACTTTCGTTAACCAGTGAATACTGTTTCATGTAGTTAGCAACAGAATATGACTGTCTCATCAAAACAGAGCACCGAATCTATATCCGGGCATATGGTTACTAGATACAATTGCGTTCTTGGATACTCTTTTGTTTTCACTTGTTCAGGTGTACTCTATGATGTACAGAGTTGTGGCCCTGACACTGCAGGTGTGACTCTCAGAACTGCATCATACTGCTAGTGCAGGAGCAAAGATGTATTGCTTAAACTTGAATAATGTATTTGCTAGAGCAGCAACACTTGTTTGTGGATCATTCTTGTCCATTGATACTATATATTCCTACAATCTGAAGGAAGGTATTCCTAGCATTGCAGAACGTGTTCTGGAATACTTACTGTATTTTTCAAATCCTTATTTCAAAGGCAACCCACTGAAGGTCGATCCCGTGATGGTGGTTTACGTCTGGGAGAGATGGAACGAGATTGTTTGATAGGTTATGGAGCCAGCATGCTTTTACTGGAGAGACTGATGATTTCAAGTGATGCCTTTGAAGTGGATGTTTGTGGGCAGTGTGGCTTGCTGGGATACTCTGGCTGGTAAGTTGTCTAATCGTAATGCTTTTTGTAAATCATGGTGTCCCCTCCTCACTTTGTGCATGTGTCAGATGTGCCCATACTTTCAAGAAAGCTCTGTGAATCTAAGGTGTATAAAGCAAACCAAGACAGAGTAAATGTGCCTCTGTTTGATAGAACTTTGCCCTTGGTTGTAGTGCTTCTCAGCTTTAAAGAGCCCTTCAGATACTAGTTAACAATCTCATGTACCTTAATCACAACCAATGTCAAAATTCAAAAATGATATTTGGGGAACTGGTGACAGGAGACAGAGTTCTGTTATTAGTATGTTCCTTTTGATCTGATTGAGTGTGAGACTAAAGTAAGTTTGTAGTTGATGGGCTAGGCATCTCTCCTGATGTGGAGAATAGGTGTTGTCTTCCACAGCCAGCTATGCTCATGGGAGAGGTTACCTCTGCTGCGCCTCTTGCCTCTCTGCCCGTCCCTGCAGGGGATTAGCAAACCCCTGGAATAGCCTGCTGGTGCTACTTAAAAGTAATGTTCCCTAATCTGCCTCAGGCGGAGTGAATCATGTCCATTTAAACAGTTCAAGTCACCTTGCCAATTTTGCCAGGGCCCAGTTAAGTAGCACTGGTGCAAATTGCTCCGTAAGCTGTTCACTGGGGCTGTGACCTCTGTGAGAAAGGCAATGATAAACAGCTGGGACCAGTAACGTTTTCTGGATTGTCCAGCTATCTCAATAATAAAGAATGCCCCAGGCCTGAAGTAAAGTGAGATTTCAGCAGATGTAGGATGAAATTTGGAATTTCTGATCTCAGTCAACTCCCAAGTATCAGTGCCTCATTCTACAGTTGTTGGCAGTTCAATTAACACCAGGCCAGCACTGGAATGAACCTTTCTTTCCTAGAGGCTTAGCCACATCAGGTTGATGTGCCAACTTAACTCACTGATTAAAACTACCACAACTCCACTGGTGTGGAAGCACCCCTAAATCAATGTGAGTGCATTAAACTGATGTCGCATAATATAATTACAAACCAATTTACAGTATGTTTAGCGTATAAGATGGACTCCGATGAGTTTGTGTTAACATGCCCTGCTGCACTGATCTAGTGCTAGAGTAAATGTGTATATGCGTAAACTTTTGCAAGCACTTGCAGCCTTGCTCCGACTCCTTTTCAGACCATCTGGAAGAAGGCTGGCCCCAAACAGGGAGCTTAGTGGCCCTGCTTGATCTAGCGAGTCCTGCCCTCACAACAGATTCTTGCCGTACTGCACATATCCACAGAGTTTATTCTTGATCATGACTGCCCTTTCTTATGAGTCCTTTCTCACCCAGGATGTGTCCATGTGAGCACAACATTGTTTTAGCTGCAATGACACAGCTTTTGGTCTGGGGCTGGCTGGCATCCAGCAAACTAAAAACGCACAGCAGAGCAAACTTAACTGAAGCCTAGCCCTTTAAACTGAAGATAATTGGTCTGGGGACAAAGGCTTGAGGCTGTATTTGTGTGGCAGGACAACGAAGGGCAACTCCTGGTTGCCAATTGTAGGTAGCTACAGCTATAGGTACAATGAAGATTGATATCTACAAGTATTGTGTGTCACTAACCAAAGTTAATATCTTCTGTATCAACAAAAAACTTTCTATATGTATTTTTAAGTGGAACAGATATCTTTATAGGAATGTTCCACTTTTTTTAAAGGATTTAGAGACGGGCGTCTGTCCTTCCATGTTTTTCCTACTGTGCTGTGTAGTTTAGCATTTCTTTTTTAAATGCTTCTCCAGGCTTTTTTCAAATCATTTCAGTCAGCAGCTCATGTCCTTGGCTGCTAAGAATTTGCCCACTGTAGTTCTGCCTGTCTTCTCCAGCCCTCCCGCAAACTTTAACAGTCACTGTTTTCTGCACTGGAAACACACAGTAAACATACTTTCCTAAGCAGCAGACTTAGCTGTTACTTTGCAGAATCTCTGCAACTATGGTATGCCTCCACTGCACAGATATGGTTTGCTTCTTTGGGAACAAGGTTTTCTTTTTCAGAGAAGTTATACCTACAGTTTCTAGCTAAGAAAAGACTTACATGCACTAAGTTTTCCAGTGTGTGCAGCAACTCCTGTTTTTATTTTAAAAATGCCGTCTTTCTTCCTTGAAGAGAGGAACTAAGCCTACTAGATACTCCACAGCTGCATCTCCAAGCAGTGTCGTTGTCTCCACACTGCTTCCGTGCATGCTAGACATCCTGAATTCTTGATAGGTCTGGCTTTGTTGTGCAGGCACCTCCAGTGCCACATAGATCTTTTGAAGGCAATAGTAATCCATATGTATCCCACCAAATGAATGTTTTCTTCTAACGATATCCTTTTTGTAAGATTTCTGGACCTTATTTTCACCTGCAGTCACAATGTAGATGGTTAAGAACAAAGCCCATAATGTTAGATGCAGTGTAGGTGTACTAAATTTACCCAGTTAAGTTATGGGTACAATAATGACTGTTTTTGCATCCATTCCAGGAATAATTGCAATAAAAATTAAGTGCACTGAATGTGAATATACTTTCAGAAGTAATCAAGAAGGTCCATTTGTAAGCTTGTTCAGAGGTCAACTAGTTTTTAAATATCATGGAGTCCCATTTGAAAATGATGAAGTAATTTGAATGTGGATTTGGAGAAATCAAGTCCTGTGTTTGCTGCTCTAATAGCTGAGAGAGATCAAGTTATCTCCATACTTTATAGATGCCTCAGTATGTTTTGTGTTTGTGGTTTCCCTTCCGAGGGAAATGTTCTCAGACTCCTTAAAGAGTGTTGCTGGCTCAGGTTTTTTTCTCAAGTCTTTGTGGTGCCTGTAAAGCTGACAGATTATGTCTTTGCAGGACAGAAGTCAGTTAAAGGAGAACTGGACTCTCCTCCGTATTTGGCACAGGGAGATTACTTTTCTTCTCTGGAGATCTTCCAGCCTGAACTATAAAATCCTTCAAGTCTAAACTCTTAGCGCCAAAAAAAAAAAAAAAAAAAGAATTGTGGACTGGTTGTGAGAATAGACAAAAACCCAATCATCTATCTTCAAAAAAGGGGAAACTAGCAACTAGCTGTGTCACTGTCATGAAGTCTTCTGACATCAGATCAGAAATAAGTCCAGGTTAGGCACAGATCTTTCCTATTATAATATTGCATGTAGAACCTCAAAAGGCTGAAGAGAGAGAGTGAGCAGAGAAGAATGAGAGAAGAAAGCAACACCTCCTGCTTTCTAGTTCTCCAGCTGTGGCATTCATAATCACATGTACACTGCTTTCTTTGACTGCTCCCCTCCCAAATGCCTTTTGCTTTGTAGTAATACAAAACAAGGAGCTCCTCTTGGAAGCATTGGACAGATGCACCAATCAGAGAAACACCTGCCTGACTGGAAATTCAGTTGGTTTCTGACCAACTGCCTTGTGCCAAAGAAACTAATCTCTAGACTAGCTAATGATCTTGTCATCTTACTCTCTGTGAGTTCTAAGCTAGTACTAAGTTTATCTTCTACAGTTTCTCCATGTAGTGGGAGCATGAAACTAGATGCCAAAACTATGTGGAGATCATCAGATCTAATTATGGACTTTGCTCTTAACTATCTTCTCTCTACAGTAATTTAGAGATGCTGTATTCAAAGTTACCCTGTAGCTTGCTAGAAATACACTACTCTTACTAGAAGATAGGAAAGCTTGTTTGTGTGCTCTTTAGAGGTGAGGGGATGTTTTGTTTTAGCCACACAGAAAAACAGACTTGTGAAGGGGATAGGAATTTATAAGATACAAAGTTCTTGCAAGTTTTGTGAAGTTGACCTGGAGTGCCATGACTGAGGGAAGAAAAAAGCAGCAGTGTGAGCTCGTTATGAGTTACTCTAGTATTTATGGCAGGGGAAAGACTAGAAAATTGGGGGGGAGAGATCCACTTATAAATACCTCAAAAGAACATTGTTTGAAACTTGCAGCATCTTCAGTGTCAGTATCAGTGTATTAGGAGAGGCAGGAAATTGGACTTTATTCACTCTGGCGCTTGGAGAGAGATTTTTCTGTGATACAATGAAGTATGCAAGTTAAAAGTAGTGCCTATTTTCAGCTTCTTGATGGAAAAGTGGCAGCTAACCTTTCTGGCCTTGGTCGGATCCTTCTTCTGAATTGCATGACTTCTGACCAAAAATAGTGTATCCTGTTTGTATGCTGAGAGCAGCAGCAGTTCTGTTTCTTATGGAGCAGAAGTGCAGACAGAGGTAGGTGAACAAGTGTGTAAGCCAGGGGAGAGTCAAGGCCTACTCTGTATATACTGCCATGGTTGGTGATTTTTAGTTAGACATTGCCCTACTCGTGTTTAGGCAATAATTTTTTTTTTTTTTTGAGTCCTGGTTTTCTTGAATGTGTATGTGCTGTATGTAACAAGTGAGGCCTCCTTCTGATCCGAGTCTCTTAAAGCTACTGCAATGCAAGCAGCAGCTAATGGAAGTTGTCTGAAAGAAAGCACACCTTAAGTCAAACAACCAACCACTCTGTGTGAAGCACTGCATTAAAAATACTGTCATAGAGATGTGGCTTAATTTTTTGACAAGATCTTGGCTTTAAGAGCAGTCCTTAAAAAATTTTCAGAGACCAGATGAGGTGAGGGTACCTTGAAGAAAATTAGAAATTTGAAAATTAGAAATAGTATTCATTTTATTTTTAAGGTGTTTCTAATCAAAGTATTCCTATTTTTGAAGTTTCTAACAAAGTTTAATCACTTTTTTTAAAATAACCGTAAAAGAAACTTCTCTCAGACAAGGCCAGACATTTGTGCAAGTTAATGATGTGAAAAGCTGTCTGATGTGTGAGAGTAATCAATAATAGGTAGTTTCAGCTAAGTGATATAACATGCGGTGTCTATCATTAGCTGAAAGAAGTGGCCCTATAATGAGCATCACAATAGAAACCAAGTCATTAGAGAAACTCAGAACTTCTAAACTGGCCTTTTCAGTGATTCTGGCATTTATAAGACATTGCTGTGAGAAACCATTTAGTAACATATTGTTTGGTGGCTAGCATTAAGGGCATTTGTCTGGGAGGAGGGATTTATGTGGCAACTGTAACAGGGACAGTAACAACAACACATCAGTGTTGGGGCCTGACGTGGTTCTTCCACAGGGGAAGGGGACTGTTGTGGCAGCAACAGAATTTGTCTCAGTGAAAAATACAGTAAAAACTTACTATAAGATATTATGGCAAATTCTTCCAACTTTCCTATTGTACATGGTGCTCAGTGGCAGGACTCCACTAAATGCAATGAGCAGGATTCAGTCCTTTTATGATGACAAGATGAGAGGTTAGTCAGATCTATGGAGTCTGAGCGTTTTAAAATCTGCAGGCACAAAACTGTTGTCTCTTGTCCAGATTCAACCCTGGTGCTGTTATCTCTTCCTGTCCAGTATCAAATCTAGGACCAAACAGAGTCCTTCAGGTATTTCAGTTTCTGTGATCTGTGTTTGACAGTGACTCCTGATTTGCACCTATCGTACCTTAACCTTTCTGGGTGATCACCCATCCAAGTACAATACTTTTCAAAACCGAGACAGGGAATGTACAGAAGAATGAGGAAATAAATGTTAATTTTCCATCTTCTTATAAGAACGATTTTTAATTCCCTTTGTGTGTTCATGGAGTAAGAAATAAAATCATTTAATGTAAGGAGTTGTTACTGCCAATCAATTTGTAAGTCCCAGGACTAGAAAGACGGCTGAGTGACTAGCCTATCTATTCCTTACATGGTCAAAGTTGTATCTGTTTGACAAAGAAAACTCTCCCCCAGAATTCCAAGATCATGTCATTATTTGAGTAAAAAGTGCAAAGAATATGCGCTGAAGTGGTTTCACTGGTTTCCCATCTTGACTGAAGCTTTGGCTGTTTGCACACAAGGACTTAAGGAGAGAGATGCCCCTTCCTGAGCTAGGAATACGAATTTATTTGGGGCAGTATGATAGTAAAAAGTGAAATTGTATATGAGGGGAAAAAAAAAAACAAATATGACCTTTCTTTCTTCCTGCCTCTCTCTTGTGACTGTACGTAAATGAAACCTGGAACATTAACCACGTTTTCAGAATACTTGATTGTGTTCACCTCCTTTTTCTTGTTATGCAGTGCTGAATCTTGTGTTGGCACTTGTGGGTGGCAAAGGGGGACTCAGTCCTACTAGCTGCTGAGTATTGGCTCTTCTCCAAGAAAAGTGCAGGTTTAACATTAAGATCCTATTGACTTCAGTCAAATTATGTAAAGGCTTACAGTTATGACTTGCTTAAGTGCTAAAACATGTCTCAAGCACTCAGCACCTTCTCGAGCTGAGCCCCGTGTTTAAATGCTGGTAGACAAAGAAAGCAGTGAATGGTGGCAACTGTTCTTTTCTGCAGAGCTTTATTTATGCATCAACTCTGACCTTCTTTTGGTTTGTTTCCATAGGTGCCACTACTGCAAGTCATCGTGTCACGTGTCTTCTCTGCGCATACCTTATGCCTGTAAACTCTTATTCCAAGAACTGCAGTCAATGAATATCATACCTCGGCTAAAACTAGCCAAATACAATGAATGAGCAAGAAGAAATTAAAATCCAGCATAACTGGAAGATATTTTGGTGAATGGGAATAAAACCACCTGAACGGGTAGAAGGGAGATACAAGACACTTGTATGAAGTCTTTCTTGCATCTTTTGCCTGTTTTTAAGTTGACAGGCGAGACTGTCAGTAAGAGCAATCCTGAAGCTTTGATTAGCCTGAGAGAACAGGATGTGTGGGCATTGTGGGATAAGGCCATGATCCAGCAGAGCACATGCGTAACTTTCAAACATGTGATAACCCCATGCTTGGTTTCACTAAGTGGAACGGGGGCTTGAGCCGAGCTTAAGTGCACATCTTATTCATATAGGTTAAAATCATGTTTTCCAGACCAGTGGAATATGGAAGACTAATAAATGTTTTAAATAATACTGCCTGAATGTATGTGCTAATGGCTGTAGAAGGATGGTAAAGACTTCTTAAAATCTTTTAAAACATTTTCTTATTCCTTAAGCATTTTCTTAAGCATTGTTAAAGCATTAAGATTTTGTTAAGTATTATCTGGTTTAGAGAAACGAAAGAATACTTTCTAGAGAACTTTAAATGGGTCATTTTGAGAGGGATTTGAATATGCAGGTGAAGGTGCATTTGTGTGAAAGCTGTGGTGTGATTATAGTCAGTGTGTCTTCAGTTAAACATATTCCGTTTCCATGAAGTTCAAGAGAGGTGACTGCATGTGCGCTAAATGCAGGGTACAGCTTACAGATAACCATTAAATTCCATTTGAGTTTAGCAGTTCTAGTAACGTGCTGGCTCCAAGCCCTGAAAAGACAGGCTGCAAACACTACAGACACTGATGTACACTCTCCTAGGACTTTAGAATTTTTTAAAATACGGGGCTAGCCAAAGCTTTAAAAATATACTATAAAGAACAACCAGTCCTCCACTGACAGTGAAGCAGGGTTGAAAAACCTTAAAGGATTTAGAAAGAGAACAGCTGAACTTTTTATGAGATATAAGGCCTAAAGCTAAAGCAGTGGATGAACTAAGAGTTCACTTAGTACCATACAGATCACTTGAGCCCTTACTCAGCAAAGCACATGGTTAACTCTTTAAGCACAGTAGTAGTCCCACTGAGGTCAAGATGAAGTATGTGCATGTTCAGTTGCTCTCTGATTCCTCAAATGGCTGAATAGTGCATGCCAGTCCCGACACTGTTTTTGCAGTCAGGTTGCTGCTATTTGTTCTGCTGCTTAGGAAGCACAGATGTGTATCAGCCCTCAAGAATTACTGAATAGGTCTGCTTTCTAAGCTGTCATCAAAATGCTTAAACTAGTAGCTTTGTGTCTGGGCTTACAAACCAAGTTCGAAGGGGCAGACTTTAGTCCAGCTGTGAAAAATGGAGAGTAATGACAATACAGATACTTAGAACAGCACATTTGGATTGGAAAAAGCTCTTGAGGCATCCCTTCCAGGATCTGAATGGCTCAGCGCTATTAATAAAGACTTAATGACAGAATTATGTACAGCAACTGTTGCCAAACTGGAGGAAGAGGTTAACCAAAAGCCCCAACCAAATCAATGAACTTTGCTTTGCTCCCTGAGACTGCCACACTGAGGCTCAGGTGCACCACCAGAGGGAGTGAGCCTCAAAGGCTGCAGCCTACCAGTGGGGGAGAGTTTTGACCTGGATCTAGAACACCTTATCCTAAGGGTAGTTTCCTTGCTAGCTAGTCCTCTCTCAGCAGTCCCCTAGGTTAGAAAGTCTGAGCTACAGTTCATGCAGGACATCAAAGACTAAGCAATGGGTAAAATGACAGCTGCAGAAATTTAAGTAGACGCAGAAGAGGATGAGGAGCAAAAGGAGTGTGCTCATGACTCATCCTGTTGAGAAAGCCGTTTTTTTGTGCAACCCTGAAGGGATAACTTTGCAGCTGGTTTACCTCAAGCTGTTGAAAGCATGGCAATAGCTTTTGAGTAGGTTTTGTGAGAGCAGGTGAAGGAAATCGTCTGAAGTAGCTGAAGGTAAAGAAAAGGACAACCTTAGCAGTGATGGACGCAGTAGAACACAGAAACTAGACGTGTCTGGCAGTGAGGATCATCCCCTATTTACTATTCTGGTGATGTCTACATCAGTTTCATTCACACATCATTGCTGTCCTACCTAAGCCTGTGCATACACAGCTGGCATATGTGAGTGTAGATTTGCGTTGACACTGCCTGTCTCTCTTCAAGAGGCTACCTGTGTTCCATCTCTGGTATTAGCAATAGAATAAGCATTACAAAACCAGCAGAAGAAACTGAAAGAACAGTTATGGACTCCTGGAATATGGTAGTCAGAGTGGTAATTCAAAGAAGTAACCTATTGCAACCAGAAGAAAGGATGACACACGGACTGAAGGGGTAAAGTACGTTCTCAGAACCCTAACGTTGTTACACTGCTTTGTTCTGGTGAGCCTCATCTTTGCAGTCCTTTGAATTATCCACGTAGCCAAAAAAGGCATTTTACAATGCTGAACCTGACTACATTCTGCTAGCTGATTTTCCCCCTTCCTCTTTTCATAAAGTGAATGCCTTCATGCAAAGGTCTAATGTCAGCTAATGACTGTACCGCTGTAACTGGCCTTTGCAAGAACGAGCCTGCCACGACAACTCTTTAATTGCTGAAAGAGATGAAATATTCTGAATAACACTTGACAATCTCAAGGCTTTAGCACAAGGAGCTGTGGCTAGAAAACTGCCATAAAGTTTTAATTCCATTCCCACTTCTTTATCTCTTTCTATTCAGTGTCTAGGAGAGGCTTTCTACCAGAAATGCTATTCAACATAAAGGTTTCTAGCATTAGTCCCAGTTGAAATGCAGAATACAGTCCACTCTGAGATAAGCTAGCGGTGTGCTGCTCTTGGAAGAGATATCTAACTCCACATATTATGTTTAAATTCCCATCTACTTTGTAGCTAAAGAATTCAACGGTATTAAAAAGGAAGAAGTACTTACAGGCCTAGAATTCAGTACTCAAGTCTATTATTCCATGACAAAACAAAGGCATCAATTAAAAGCTACCCCTTCAGATACCATACATGTCTAGTGACAGTTCTGTTGTGAGAAACAGAATCAAGCCAGGGATGGGCTGCAGGCATGATATGGGACAGCACAACATAGGTCTTTTAGATGTTTCTGGAACCGTGGGTTAGGTAAATCACTTGGTTATCATTCAGGAAAAACAGCCTCACTTAGAGTTGCTTACGTACCCCTCAAAAAGCTTCTGACTTTTTTTTTTTAAAGGTAAATGTTTCCAAACATAGGAACTAGAAAAGAAAACTATAAAGAAAAATGAAAACAGATTTTGGCTGATTTTGGCATTCAAAGAGGATGTAATATGAAATATAGGCATACTGAGATTTAATAATTTTAAGATGTTGAAAATAAAGGGCTCCCACTAAGCAAGACTGGTTTTGTTTGTACTGGCCATATCTTGTTAAAAGTTTTGCTGTACAAAGAAGCTTCAACATGTAGCAAAGAGAACTTTTATTTCTGTGGATTCATTGTTACTTGTTGCTTAAAAAAATGGAGGCAAAAAAAATCAATGCAAAACATAGATCCATTATGATGAGGAAATTACTGTTAGGACAGTTCTCAGGGTTTCTTGCTGGCAGATAGAGAAAATATCTGTGGTTTACAGCAAGATGCAGGTAAGTCATGCTTAAAAACATAAAAAGACTGAAGAGTATTTCATTGGTTAGTGATAAGAAATGGCAAACAAATAGTTCTTTGCATCTGAAAAGTGATTTGTAAGCCCAATTCAGAAAACATTTGTCTATTTCTAAGTATAATTGCCATTGTACAGCTGCAAAACCAAACTAGAGGGGCTGAAATTTTTCTGTGCTTCCTGTCTCTTGAGGCTCTTGAGGGCCAGGACAGCCCTTGCACCAGTGAGCATAAGCCCTGAGATGATCTACCTTAGCTTGCACCCCTCCCACAGCAACCTACAGCAGCAGTACAAGGGAGCTCTTCAGCTGTGTCCTAGCACCAGCATGTCTGGACCGTGGCACAGCACTGGCTCAGCATTGCTGAGAAGCCCCTTCAGCCGGCCTCTCCTCCAGTTGGAGCTGAGGATTGTTTTACAGCCCATTGCTGATTCAGAGGGGCCGTGGGGCACTTGATGAATTCCCTCCTCTGAAGAGGACGTGACTTGCCCAGGGCCACAGAAAGACTGTGCCAGAACTGGGATCAGGACTCTGCAGTCCCCAGGTGCCAGACACGTGCTTGCCTTAAAACTGAGCACTTCATCAAACCGTAAAATCCAGCCAGATGGTGACTCTTTGCTATTATCTGGACCAGTGCTGGGAGGCTTAACGTGTGCAAGGCGTAGTGAAGATCTGGATCCCAGTTTCTAAGGCTCAGAAGCCTGGAAAATGGACCCATGTTTCAGATCTAAATGCTACTAGAAACTTGAGCATGTTTAAACCCAAGTTCTGACTTCAGTCCATCCTTGCCTGAATGGCTATTGAAAGATTTCAACTTCAGCCTGGACCCGCCAGTTGTGGGGGGTTCGGGGGGGGGGGGGCTTTTTTTGGAAGGAAGAGCGAGGTGCAGGAGTAAGAACTAGCTCATTTGTCAACCTTACTCTTCCATATGTTCGTTGACCAGGTCAGGTTCTCCTCTTCCAGGTAGCAGATACTGCTGGAATCAGCCAATGGATCAATTTTTGCCTCTCAGCAGACTTTTAAGAGCTCATTGTACGGACCCAGGAGCCAAGTTCACCTTCTTTGCCATGCATACGTATGAACACACGTTCCTAGGAACACCAGAACTCTCAGTTAAGCAGTCTCCAAACCCAGGTCACAGCCAATGCAGGGACTTTTTGCAGCTGGATTTTTTTTAAAAAGCAGATTACATAGCATCATACCTGTCTGAAGGAAGTCAATGACAAGTGAATTTGGGCCTTTGCTTCACCCTTCAGAAAAGTCCTTTTCAAGTCTGTGAGCAGGCCATTGCTGTTTATATCTTGCTGCTGAGGGGAAGAAGAAGAAAAAAAATAATAAAAAAAGGCAACTACATATTTCTCCTAATTACAGTTACCCTTTTATTTGTATATTTCATGAGGCACGTATCTGTGGTGTTTGCAATGAGCCACGCGTTTTTCTGTAATAGTTTCATTTTGCCTATCTTTGGCTCCTCTTCAGTTCCTCTAGTCAAAAGGAATTTGCTGCTGCTAACAGCAGCAGCAGCATCTTCATCTTTCATTAACATGAGTTTTGCAGAACCACTTGCCCTTGCGTATGCTTTACCATTCTAGTGGATGCATGGTGGTTATCATCCACTCAGACTTGACAAAACGAACAACAAAACATTTATAAACAGAAAAATCACTCACAAACTTAGAAAAGAAATAAAATAATACTCTGTGCAGTAAAGTTCTGGTTTCTTGCTAAAATTACTTTCTAATAATGGAAATGGTTTTACCTTTTACTCCTAGTGAATTGGAAACACCATTCTGCATTTGAGTCTCACCCAACCAGTCACAGGCAGGCACTGAAGGTAATTCTCCATGTTCCAGGCAGATCAAAAGAAACTGATGATCAGTCAGTCATCTAAAAGGATACCACAGCTTCACATCCAGTTGTTCTGCAGCTGAGATGCAGTCTGGAATGGATCTTTTCTGTGTCTGTTGTCTATAATAGCTTTTAGGACTGGCTCTTCTTCCAACACACAGTACAAATCCTCTGGTAACTAGTACCAGCCACATACAACAAAAGCCAGCTCAATCTAGTTTAAGCTCAGAAATCAAGGACTGCCTGCCCTTTTCTCCTAATAAAGTCAGCAAGACTCTCCCATGCTGAGCGTTTTGGGCAGCAGCTACAGATGCAGGGGTTCTTCTAGGCTCCTGTGCATACTGATACTATGCAAACCTACAGGACCAGGAAAGTGAATTCCCTTCCTCCATGCAGCTTGAAGCTGACCAGTGTGAGCAGGATGTTTTCAGTGGTCCCTTCTGGGAGGGAACGTGAGAACTGGAGCTGAGCAGAACTCTTTTCACAAGCATTAATAACAGAAGATCATTTAAGGCTGACCTGCACTCCTCTTTTACAGAAATTGGCTTCAGACATCTCTACAGTTAAGCTGGGCAAGAGGGTGGACAAGTGTTTGTTCATTTTGAGAGAAGGAGGTTGTTGACTTAGGCAAGTAAGAAAATACGGAACCACTCACAGACCGCAGCCATTGATAAAATAATAAAACCGTCACTTTATATTCAGCTGCTGCCAGCAATCTTGCACTCTGTGCAGAGACGTGAGATCCAAAAGGATCCTCTGAGTCACTGAACCTAGATCCCTGATATTGCAGATAACCGTTTCACATGACCCCATTCCTACTCGCTGCCAAAATGAATGTAGTTTCTTTTCCCTGCCAATCTTTGTGAAAACTACTCTAGAACTTCAAGCTAGAGTTCCCTTGAATATTTTAGCTAAATTAATAGATAGCAGTTTATACCCTCTTGTTCCTGCACTGACATTGTCCTTTTGTTCAAATAGCTCTTCTTATACCTTGATGCTTACTGTCAAAATAATCGTGTTAGAGACTAGTACTGCTGAACAGCCCACAGGAGCTTATTATAGCAAGAAAGGTTTGCATGGTACCAGCCTGTTGGCACAATTGACTGCAGAGCGAAAAACAGTTGTGGAAACCTCCGTGTTTCTGAAAGAGCTCAAATTACATGGGTGACAAGTTGACCTGAGCAGCAATATCTCCACTCTGCCTCTGCTTTGCTAAACCAGCTGCCTCTAAGACAGGCTTTCTGTTCCCTTGATGAACCTGCTCTTCTGTCTATGCACCTGCACACATTTGTATTCATCTTCCTTGAACAAAGGGACTAGAACTGTACGTACTATCCTAGATGTGGTAACATCGCTTCCTTCTACAATAGCAACAGAGTCTCCCTCCACTGGAAACGCTTCATCTTATGCAGTGTAAGGTTATATTGGCTTTTTGAATGGTGTGTAGTTGTTCTGCACAGGCAAGAAACTGGACTGAAGAGTCCTGACTGTAGAGTTTTGCATCCTTGCCAAGGCCTGCCCTTTATTCTGCATTAAATCAAATCCTACAGCCTATATTTTCAGAAAAGGCTAGTGACTTGCAGTGGTTCCATCTGTAAGCATCCAACTTGCAGCACATTAAATAAACCTGATTTTCATAGGAGGAGATGCCCCAGAAGAAGAATCAAATCTTTTATATAGTGTCAAGTGGGATATCCACAAGCACGAAATGCTTTTAAAAACGTAAGCAAAAACCAAACAAATAACAATGACTGAGCTGTGGCAGTACACCAGAGTTATCTGACACACTAAGGAAGGGATTAGGTAAGCAGGAAGA